AATACTGGAAGGAGTTCTGATGTAATTTTAATTTTCCCAGTCGCAGTTCTGAATGATGGAGTATTTTAACAGAAGAACATTTATTTTGAGGCAGGGATTTTGGTGCAAAAGGAACTGTTTTGGTTCTTGGCTAACTGCAGGGCCTTGCACTTTATTTTCAGGTTAACAGAGTTCATGTCTTTGGCGGCTCTCATCCCAGCCCCTGGCATGAGATCCGTATGTGTTGTGTTTGGAATTGGGCAGGAAATCAGTGCCCTTGCGCTCCAGCTGGTCCTCAGAGATGAGTGGAACTGGGAGGGGCTGTGCTTCATTTCTAATTACTGCTCCTTCAGCACAATCAGTGTGGGTGAGTCCAAGAGAAGAACTTGTCTGAGCACAGATGGACAAAGACTGCAGTTCCTAGTGCAGTGCTCTGGGTCTGATCCATGCTCATCATGCTCCAGATTCCCCAAGAGTGTGGTTTATTGAAGCAACAGGAGTGCAATTTCAGCATTGCTGCTGATGGGGGCATTGGCTACAATGTTGATGTGTGTAGGGACAGAAAGGATAGTAAAGACAGGTTGTCTGTAATAACCAGATTTCTAAATCTGTGATCTATCTATCTATCTATCTATCTATCTATCTATCTATCTATCTATCTATCTATCTATCTATCTATCTATCTAACATTTACATTGTGGAATCTTCCTGGCTCTGGTGCAAAGCAGTTGGAGGTGCAAAGCTGAACTAAAGGCAATCTCTTTCAGGAAAGGAAGAGAGACAGGTTCCATTGACCAGTCTTGAACAGGCAGAGGTTTTTCTCCCTGTAGACCTAGTTATTTTTTTTTCCCCTCAGAGCTTTTTTCCTGCACTAGTCTCTTCTGCGCTGAATCCCAAATTTATTCTTTAAATTTTTGCCTTTCCTAATGAGGTGTAACTCTTCCATGTTGTAGGTGGTTTTTGGTGACTCTGGTCATACATGCATTACATGACACATGGTTTCCTTCATTGGCATCCCTAGGAGTGTGTCAATTCATTTGTTGATGGGGCCTTTGGAGGATCTCTGTTAGTGCCGCTCAGAATTCTCAGCTGACAAAAGAGGGAGGATAAACACCTTGGTCCTCTTCCATATACTCAGGTGGCCATAGGGGCTCTCTGACCTTCATCAGAGGATCAAATTGCACACATCCTAATCTCCTGAATGACCAAGGTTTCTAACAAGAGTGTAGATGTCAGAAAGGCAGGAATGGTGGTGCAGGCCTGAAGAGAACATGAACTCCACAAGTGTCTCTCACAAGGGATGAAATCACACAGGAAGCCACCTGCAGAGCCAGGGTGGAACTGTGGGACAGGGCTGAGTGTGACTATGGAAAGACAAAGAGGACAGAGCAGAAGGGGAGGGAGGCCCTCAGCAGACCCTTGAGAAATGGCACACATTTCCTGTCAGCTGCCCAGGAGTCTGTTGGGGATTCAGACCCAGCTGGACCCTGATTGTACTGCCAGTGTCACTTTGGAATCTGTGTCTCCGCATGGTCAGAGAATGAGCCAGGAGAGCAGCAGCAGAGTGCTTTGGGAACATGTGAGCCCATCAGTGTTTGAGTCTTGGCCCACAAATGTTTTATGGGAAGTTGGAGCCCACCTTTTCTTGCTTTCTGTGCAGGTTGTTCTAGAGAAAGAGCAGGAGCAGATTATTTTGTCAGAGATGCCGTGCCAGATTGAGGGAGAGCTGTTGCCAGCCCGAGAGCAGGAAGAGCAGCTTGGACAGCAGATGGAAGAGCCACTGGAGAATGGCCAGGTAAGCCTGACTCGGCAGGTGACAGAGTGCAGGGCAGGAAGAGAGGCATAAAATGCAGCTCTTGGACCTGAGGAGGCCAGGAGTCCCCGAAGCACTGAAAACACAGAGCCTTGTAATCTGCAGTGATCAGTACTGGGACAGGAGGGTTACAGTGGAAGCAGAGATGGGGGGGAAGCAGAAAGAAGTGACTGAATGAGTGTGATTTTGAGGGTGAAAGAGGCAAAAGCTCAGACTGATGGTAGCTCCAAGTCACTTGCTCTCCATTTTTGTGGACAGTGCATCAAGGCAGAGCCGCAAGCAGAGTTGCCTGAAGCTCAGAGTAACATTGTGGTCGTGAAGAGGAGGCACGAGGAAGACACAAGAACCATCCAAGAGAAGACAAGAGTTCATCAGCAGAAGGGCAATCAACAAGACCAGGAGAGTGAAAGAGTGGCAGCCACTCCATTCACAAAACTTCCACTCTCTTGCTTTTTACAAGACATCAAGGAAAAGCTGCAAGCCCGGCTGCATGAAACCAAAGCTAAGTTCAACACAAGGGAGAAGTTGATGGAGGACAAAATGCAAACTATCAGAGAGAAATTTAGTCCCCTCCCTCAGACTCTACAGAAGCAAGTGAGTGAAACAGCAATAGACACTGCAGTCACCAGTCTGGTGTTTTCTGCCCTTGTCACCTTTCCACTGCAGAGCATAGAGGGGTAGTGGGATGCTTCTGAGTGCCATCCTGCTGTAGTGTCTATCACAGCCACTCTGAAGGGCATTTCCTGGTGTGCTGACTCTCAAATGTTGCCCTGAGCAATGGGACTAATCCTTTGGCCTTTTGGCCAGCAGTCATCCTAATTGATTCCTGCTGGCCTGTTCCTGCTGGCCTTGTTTCTTGAGGTGTTTTTACAGGAGAACATGGTGACCCAGTAGAGGGGATTGAAACCAGCTGTCTGTATCCCTTATAAACCTGCCCTGCAATTTCCTCACAGTCAATGACTCTTGGCTGACAGGGCCAAGCTGTAGTCTCTGAATGTTTTGTTCTGTTTGACTTGAGGTGGAAGTGTTGACATCTCACGAGCCAGGTTGCGAAGGCTTCCAACAAATGAGTGGAGATGAAGAGTCCCAAGGTGGATGTTGTTGTGGTTTTAAAGCAGTAACTAAAAAAAATTACTTATTTCTTATTGTGAGATATGGATTAGAACAAGAGCAAAACAGGCTTAAAACTTAAAAAGAAATAAAGAAAGTTTATTAACAAAACTACAAGAATAAAAACACTAGAATAAACTTCCAGAAAATCCTTTTATCCCCCACTACCCCTCTATGCTCTGCAGTGGAAAAGTGAG